TGTAACCGGATTTCAAACGAAATTGCGAGGAAAATCCGTGGATGTTCGATGTTCCCGGAGTGTTCTCGTGTAAACGGGGTTCCAATGTTTGTATAAGTTACGACTGTCGGGGAATAGAGGGTTTCGCGAATTTTCCGAATATCCGATCCCTTTGACGCAATTTTGGAATCGCAATTACGCACGATTCGATCGAACGGATTCAAATAGAAGCAAGACATATTCATTCGAAATTCCGACGCATGGTTTTCACATGGTTTGTCGAGAAGAAAATAATGTAAAGTCGTCCGAGTCTCAAGTACATATTTACTGGCCGAAATTTCTTCGTTTCGGGCTACGACAGAAACTCCGTGGACGTCCCTTTATAAGGGTCTTATCACGGGGGAGCTATTGTTAGACTCGATTCACTTGGATCATCTCCGCCGTGTTAATTAGTTACGCGCGTTAGACCTGGGCCGATTGTAGCGCTGGGCTTGCAGCATCAATTCCAATTAGACCGCCCTACCCTCGGGGTATTGCGATTCCTTCGCGTTTACCACCTGCCAACAGATACCCGATCGTATGCATCCTCCGATCGCATCTTGAACGTGTTATCCTTTAACGGTCGCGCCATTCGTGGTAAGGATAATTGACTCTGGACGTCGATTTCACTGTACGCCGCTTAAACCGGCGTAAATCGATTTTCATTCCATTTCGATGTCATTCGATCGGAAAAACGGATTCCCTCTCAAATTCCTATTGATTAAACCGCCTTATCGCCCAACAGGAGGAGATCAACCGCTGCTCCATCGATCAAATTTTCATCGGGTAGACCAAGTTCGCATCCGGTCGACCATACGTATCCTTTCTATTGCGTTTACCGCGATCCGTCACGCTTCGTCTCGATTCAACGAACACGTTCAATCGTGAATTCCGCATCATACGTACAAGGTGTTTCAGAACTCCAGGCCAAATCCGATAGGAGCGTCTCTTTCTGTCGGTGTGAACCACTCGGTTTTGCAAAGTCATATAAAGTCTCTTTGAAAGTATCGCAAATCCTATAGAACGATTCACCCATTCCCCAAATGTAACGACGAGAAGCAAAGAACGGAAGAAAACATCTGAGCCATAGAAATATAGCTGCATTTCGTTTTGTCAAAAATGTATCGTGCTGTTTTTTCTACTTTGTCGGCGGAAGGATACCGTAGCTACCTATTTTTATATTTCTGTCCGTTGGAGGAATCGCAATTCTGAATCGGCCAGTATCGCGTCACGCTCCCGGGATGGGAACATGGACGACGACGCGGACGAGGGAAGGATACGGTGGTGTGGGATCGTTTCGCAACGTCGGCGTCGACGTCGTCGTTGTCGTCGTCGTCGTCGTCGTTGGCCGTAGGACGGCCGCGAAAGGAGGGATGTGCCACGACGACGGCGACGACCCACATTCCATCGAATTTAATTTCATGCCTTATCTCTGGTAACCACGGTACAATGCTTCAACTGGGGCGGCTGCGAATCCTTCTATCTTTCCCTTGTACGCCCCACATACACCGCCCGGCACAACGGTCTACGTACAACGGTTCACGGTTGCGACTCCGCAACGGCCGCAATTTCTACCCGTATTTTTCTCACGAAATATTCACCTCCCGGTTTCTCTCAATACGCGGATACGCCGAGCAATCGATGCAGATTCTTTCTTCGAATGTAAATTCGTGTAGACGCTCGCGCAATTTACACGGGATCAGTCAACAACAGTCGGAAATTTAATTTGCAGCGAGAAGAGAGAATTGTTAAATGGAAATACGAACAGTTTTACGACGCCGTCGGTGCACATTAAAATTTCATACGATGAGCCGCGCATATGATCATGGTCGAAATAACAATGTACGATGGAAGATTTTTAATGGACTCTTCTCGTTTCACGTACGAAGCCACGTTTTAAATAACAGTTTTATCTAAAAAGCATTTTGTTTCTCTTCGGTATTAGATAAAACCTAAAAAAGCAACCCCTTCGCTCCCTCAATTACTTTGCCGTAAGTTCGTAAACAGAGGGTGACAGTTATTTACACGTACACGTTCCCTTTCACCCCGTAACAACCCTATTATATTTTCCACGTCGATTAACGCGTGATCACTGAGACGTTGCCCTGTCGCACACTTAAAACACACAAAATTTCGTTTTCCAATAAAAAAATAATAGAAAGAGCATTACAAACGGGAATATTATTAATCGAACGCGATCGTAATTATTCATCGTCGAATCGCTGGGACCTGATTGCTTTAGAAGATGCTAACTGAAGACTGATTGATGGCAGCCTAATTGCTTCTAAACTTGCTGAGCGTCGATCATGGACCACCCGGAAACTACCTCCCGGGATTATTTAAGGATGTATAGGCTATACATATACTTAAACAATGCTGGCATGTTGAATTTGTTATTATAAATTCCTATNCTTTTAATTACAGGAAATGCGTTTTTCTAAGGCACATAAACTTTTGGTATTGACTCTATAGCCAATACATCCTTAAAGAGATGCCAACCGATATTTAGACGATCCCGCCCAACTCTGTACAATTTCACAACAGTATTTGTCTGACTTCCTCCCTCGCGAAACTTGGACACACAGTGAACCCCGAGTACCAATTCTCTGATTCGGCTACTCCGTCGAATACAATCTCTCGTAGTCGCGTTACACGACAACAGCTCACTCGTAATTATATTCTCACGAGGACGTACGGTTACATTTGAAAAAGGGAAATTGAATTTTACATTCTGAACTCAGGTCAGAAGTCACGTCTAGTTTCACATAAAAATCCGCGGTCTGATTATAGAACTAGAAATTAGAAAAAAGGAGAAACTCGTTCGCACGGAAATACGTACAGGTTCTCCGGTCGAAACTGAGATAGGCGAGCGAGATACCCGTGTAGGCGGTATTGAAACGCTCGTCAAGGGACAACGAGACTAAACACGGAGAGAGAGAGAGAGAAAAACGTAGTTTACGATGTAGTTCATATCGTGATAGCGACGCGCGACATAGGTACAGTTACGTTCAATATCACTCGCAATTATTCCAACGCTCTTGGTTAGACACGAGAATAATGTTGCGAGTAAAACATTTTTTTAGACATAAATAACATTTTTTAAAACGTTCATTTCTCAAGTTCGGAACGAACGACCATCCCATACGCCAACATTATGAAGTTATAATTAGAATTTTCTGTAGTTGAAATAATACGTTTCACAGAACTATTAGAGGATACGAAAAATCGTGGACGAACGTGTCACGTGCTTCACATCGGAGTACAAAGGAGAGAGTGTGTGCCTTCACTTATTTTACGAACGGCAACTGTCCAGAATTCTTTTCTCATTAACATTTAATTTGAAAATTGCGAGCGATCCTAGTTTTGTGGTTGTACAAACATCTGGGCTCGGTTTATTAAGGTTTGGGTGTATGAAGATCGGTCGGTACAAAGTACAACACGCGTGCAAAAAGCGCGTGGGTGGCGGGTCGAAGCTCGAGTGGCTATTTCTGGGTTCGTACGCGCGACGATCGCTTTATCAGCGAGGCGCGCCTACCTGTATCTGTTCCACGGAGACTGAAAGCGCGAAAACAGGACATTTATTTCGAGAAATCGAGCCATCCGATTATTAACTTGCCAGTAATGGGTCGCGACCCGACAGGAAATTGAAAAATACGAGCACGACCGATTCCCTTCGCGGGGTGAACGGCTGTCCCTTCACCCGCGATTTTTACCGAACGTTTCCGCGTGAAAACGACGACTGATTTATGGCCAATAGATTTCGACGGTTCGATCGAATCAAAGATTATCGCGGCCGATGTTTTCGGATTAGGAAATTGCATAACGGGCGTGCTTTAACGCCGTGTTCCGGCCTCGCAGATCGAATTCGACCCGCGATATTGCAAAGACGTGCGAATTCGCAATTTCCATAATTTCGAAGTTCAATTCCGGAGTTCGTACAATGCTTCCGGAGCTTTTACGCCGGTCGAGGCATTACGATTGCTCGCGGTCTCTACAATTTCAGAAAGTCAAAATGAAAAGATATCGGGGATGCTTCTGTGAACGTTCCCGGTACGAGCACGGCAAACAGTGAAACTATAAGAATTCAACTTTTCAGAAATATTGTACGAGTACACGACACTGCTACAGATTGAACTTCGAAATAGGGATTCTTCGAAGACGGATCCTCGTTAGAAGATTGATTCTAGCTCACTGTCCGTCGTCCGAGCTATTCGTTTATTTTCTTTCCCCTCGCGAAAATTCTGACGACGTCGTTTCTACGAACGAGAATTCCATTAGAGAAATAGCGCAGAATTGTATGAAACTCGGTATTGTTACAAGGAAGATACACAGGAAATAAATATCGAAATGAAATCGTCAGATCACGTTGCACAAAACGAAACGAGAACTAAAAATAAGAATACCTTCGACGAGCCAATAGTTCGAAGTTCTATCGCTCGCAGGAAGTGAATCAAACTGCGCGTTCGATTCACAGTGGCACGCGGTAAGATATGTCAGGCGGGCTCAGCCCACAGTAGAATATGGTAAGATACGTCAGACGGGCTCACCCCACGGCGGACCGTCGCACCCTCGAGACTTCGGAGACTCGACTCCGGCAACGATTTTCAAACGTTCATGCTATGCATCGGATCAAAGGGGCATGTGTCCTTAAATAAAGTAATACGCGATTCTTTTAAACGAAACAGTGCAGTCGGCGCGACAGCCGACTGAGAGAAATATGCTCGAACATTCAACTTATACGTAAACCATGGTTTGGGCCTTTAAACGAGACTACTACCCCAGGGTCAATTAACTGTTCTCTCACGGTCAGACGCAGGCGTATCCGAGATCCCGAGGTCACGGCACCCGATCCGAGCCACTTGTCTCAGACACCCTCGATAACCATAAGTACACGCGTTCGACGGTTCTGATCGCTGTAAGGAGCAATTAGGACGGCGACAACGATCTAATACGCGTTATCGCGGGTTTGATCTCTGGCACAGGGCTGCGACAACGCACCAGATGGACGAGGCTCCAGGGAGGACAGGGAAACGATAGGAGAGGCGACCGGTTGCGGCTGCTGCAGCTGCGCGTCGGTCGCCTGGACCTGCAGCTGCAGCACCAGCGGGTAGCTGCCGGTGAAGACGGGCCAGAACGATGCAGAGCACCGGCGACTACTATCAAAGGGCCCCGAGATGCTGTCCGGGAAGGAACGCGAACGCGAACGCGGACGCGTTAAGGATCAGCGCGTCCGTGAGGGGCGCCGAGCTGCTGTGCTGCTGCTGCAGCTGCAGCACCGCGACGTCCACCAAGACCCCGGGTCTGTTGGTCAGCCTCGGTGTTTGCGTTCTCGTTTTGGGATACACGTTGCTGGGAGCGTTCGCATTCATGGCGCTCGAAGGGGGTCTCAAGTCGGTCAGTGTTCGTTTAACTCGGCTACTTTTAGCCTCTCAAATATTTAACCCTTAACTATTATAGACGTTCGCGATAAAGCAATTCAATCGTCTTCGCTTTGTGTATTAGTAACTGACGAAGTCTTAACCGTGGAAAACCTTTTCAGAATTACTTTGATTAATAATGTTACGCGATGATAGAGGAAATAGCAAAGACGTAGAGCGTTTTCGCAGAGCAACTATAGTAGTTTTAATGGAACGATAGGACTCGGCGAACGACTTGCTGGCTGGTTCGAAGCCCGAAGGTGGTTCCTACTCGATCCCGTCTCTCGAGGACGACACCGCAGCTAAGGAGCTGAGGGCACGCACCGTCGAGAGACTTTGGAGCATCACGGAGGATCTGAACGTTTTGTATAAAGAGAACTGGACCCGATTGGCAGCGAGAGAAGTGTTCGAGTTCCAGGAGAACCTAGCACGCGGTCTTAGGAGGACTTCCTCCCAGTACGAACCGTCTCGAACCAGAGACCTTTCCGACAGGAGACCGCGAAGGTGGACTTTCAGTGGCAGTCTCTTATACTCTCTCACGCTCATCACCACGATAGGTAAAACTTTACATACGTATAAAATTCCGCCAACCCTCCCAAACATCGTTCGCATTTACGGAGCGAAACAGAAGATTCAATTGACGTCGTTAAAATCCCCGAATGAATTCGAGACGCGTCTATTAAACTTTAATAAACGGTTCGCAAACAACCGTTCTCCGCTCTACTGTCAATAACGGCCGACGTAACTCGGTGTAATATCGTATTCTCAGGGTACGGTAGCGTGGCGCCTCGTACTGTCTGGGGTCGTTTGATCACGATAGTGTACGCTCTGGCCGGGATACCCCTAATGCTGATCTATTTGAGCACGGTGGGCGACGTTCTCTCGCGAAGCTTCCGTCGCTTGTACGGCCGGCTGTGCAGGCCGCGAAATTGCGCCAGAAAGCAGCAGCCGCCCCCGCCCCCGCCGCCCGGCATCATGAGCAAAACGTACAGATACGACAACCACGTCGACTCCAAGTCGGGAAATTACTATTCCGCGAGCCGAGAGAGCTCCTGTGACGATCTTGGGACTAGAGGCACCAGCAGCGCTATTTTATTGGACTGCGGCAGCGAGGGGCTGCTTCACGCTACCACCAGCTCCACAGCCGTGCTTCAGGTACGATCAATTTTATTTTAGGTATAACGTATCCTTCTACGTTTCGAATGTATCCCCGTGCCCATTTTATCCGCGAGGAAATTGGTGAAACGCTTCGCGTATAGGTATCGTATAAATTTCAGTAGGACACCCACGAAGTATCGAACTTGTCGATAGCTGCACGTACATAACTCCACTGTGCACTCTGCGTAATATGCCCCCGATGGATATTACGACCGTTACTTATTTTTATAAAAGAATCGAGTGTTCTTGTTCCGAAATGAGATGACTATACTTCGATGACCAGTTACTTTTCAAATAAGAAAATCGTTGTTATATTTTGTCATTATTTTTGGAAAGAGTCGATCGTCGCCTAAGGGTAAAATAATCCGTTCCTTCTGTCCATCAGGACGTGTCGTCAGGAAACGGCAAGCGTCACTTTCATCCGTGCTCGTTGCCCCTCTCATCGAGCTCTTCGCCCGGGTACGTGGTGACGAACCCGGTCAGGATACCGATCAGCCTGTGCCTGGTGATCATGCTGCTCTACATATGTTGCGGCGCGGTGATGTTCAATCGTCTCGAAGGTTGGAGCCTCCTGGAGGGTGGCTACTTTTGCTTCACCAGCCTCGGAACGATCGGGTTCGGCGAATTGATGCCGGTGGGACGCAACGCGGCGTCTACCACGCTGCAGGAGCTCAGTCTGTGCGCTTGCTCGCTCTACATCCTCGCCGGGATGGGCCTGATCGCCATGTGCTTCAACCTCGTCCAGGAGGAGGTGGTACGCGTGGTCAGGGTCTTCGGTAGAACCTGCGGCATGTCGTCGGGGGTGGTGGTCGGACCTATCGGTGGTACAGGTATCCCTGATGCAGGCATTCGACGGGGAACCGCTAGATCGTTCCGGACGAGAAGCTGATTCTTAATACGGCTGTGTTTTAGATCACGTTTAAGCTTTCAGCCTGACTAGATTCGCTATTATCCATCCATAGACGAGCGACGTTATCCCGATGCCGTTTAGTCTTTTAACACAGACCTCGTTTCGTTGATCCTCACCCGTTTTAATTTCTCTATCGTTGCGATCACACCTCCTGTCCCACCTGATCGCAAAACCTTCGGACGAATCCAGGCTAAAAGTACGCGAAAATAACGAACGAGCTCTCATTCGCTTGCACGTTAAGCGGTTCTGATCCACTCGCGTCGGGGATTTCGATTGGGCATCTTGACCACTTCGCATAACCCCTTGATTAAAATCGCGATCAAAATAAAGAACAATATCTCGTTAAGTTCGGTATTTGAAATTTCGTACACGATCACGAGAGAACTGTGAACTGATCTCGTTTCACAGGTTCCAGTACAGGGCTCAAGGCCGACCTGGACGATGGAGGAGGTACAAGCGACTCGCGACTGTCCGAACAGGAAGAAGAATCGATCGCCATGTCCATGGTGCCAGCATCCTGACAGCATCCGGCCAGGAGCCCCGGCGATGGGAAACTCCTGGCCCATGCGTCCAACACTGCCATAAAGCCATCGCCGGGTCACCATTCTCTGCCGCGTAAACGAACGCCGTCTGAGTCGAGGAACTCGACGCAACAGTTTCAAAGGGCGCAATCGTTGAGGCGGAGCTGCCTCTCGCCCACGCAGTATCATCACCAGCATCATCAGCACCGTCAGCAAGAGAGTTCCTTGCACTTCGAGTATTTCGTGCCTAGGAGCGTGAGCGAATTCAATTTGACCGCGGCCGCGGTCACGGACATGGCTGTACCTCCGCCGCCACCGTCTTCGGTGTTACGGCCGTCCGCGGTCGTAACACCGCCACTGGTAGCTCCGGTCAACGCGACGACCAACCAGTCTCGGTTGTTGGACTGCCCCGGCACGGCGACGAGGAGTCGCGAGAAGATGGTCACGTTCGAGGACGAAGGCATGAACTGTGCCACCACGTCGACTCCCACGAGGAAGAACGTTTCCGCGTTGGAGAACGTCTTCATGTAACCGATCGATTCGGTCTTTCTGTGATCGATGACGGTGCTCTGGTCGTCTCGCGAGGGTATTAACTGGTCTCGTGAAATTGTGTGTCCTTTTCTCTTCGATCGAGTGAAAGTCGATTGACGAGGCGGGAAAATTATGTACCGATGCTCCTCTTGTATAATCGGGAGGCGAATCGTCGCGATTGTAACGAGACGTTCTTAAGAGTAGTCATTTCGAATCGTACGATGAGAATCGAAGTGCGAGAGATGTCCGGGACACGAACTTCGAGCAACGAACGTGTCCGAAGGGGGAGGGTCCGTGGGTTCGGGCGACTTTTAGGGGTGGTCGATCCGCCGCGACGAAAGACATTAGATTTCTACCGTTCACATTATAACTACCGTTATTGTAACACTATTTAATACTCTTATCGCTGCTGATATTCTTCTTCTTACAATTATCGTTGCTAGATTACGCGAATTACGGCCGGATTTACTTCGCGAGTTGTGCGAGTTGATAAAGTGTACATGCCGTTACATTACCTCTTCCTCGGACACATACGTTTTTACATGAAAACCGACTGTACACAGGGTGAGACAATCGAACGTGTAATTATTCTTGAAAAAGTGTATTTAAAATATCCGTCAGGCTCGTCGGTGCATCAAATTTTCTTTCGAAATTAATTAAGAATTTTCTACCAACGAAAAATCGCTTTCTACAGTTGAAGTTGTACTCTAGAATGTTTGACCATCGAAATGTGTGTCCTAGAAGAGGTAATGTAAAGAACGAAAGAAAGACACAGCCTTAAAAAAACGATGCCGAATAGGCGGTTCAATTAATACTGTTTAAAAAAAAAGACAGATAAATATAAAATAGGGAGAAGACATGCACAGATGGGTGGGACGGTCTATCCTAGTGTAATTTTTAAGATGATTTCATTTAATCGAGCGTCGCTTAATTTTCATACGAGCTCGGACGAAGAGTGTGCGAATAAAAGTATATGGCCCATTATAAATGGTCAGGGATCTGTCGTGCGAATTAAGAAAACGATGATCGAACGAAACGGTAATCGGTATCATAACGGACCAAATCCGGTCTTCACGATGGATTTTCCATACGAAACAATTACAGGCGATTACGAAACGTTACTACTTAGATTACCAGTTTACGATCGAGGCTCAACGAGTGTTCAGATAAGATGTTTGTACACGTGTTTCTTTCTTGGCATTCAATGAGTTTTCATTAAAGAAAAACGAAGTAAAAGTATCGAAAAGATCAGAATTTCTAATTATTTCCCTGTATTGAATCCTTAACCCCCATCCCCTTACCTGAATAAAGTCCTTACAACGAATCAAGAAAGATTTATAAGCTCATCTTTCTTACAATGTCTGATTCGTCCCACATCATTTTTATTTACCATACAATTTGTTGACACAACGTCAGTTTTGGATCGACGTTTTTAAAATGCATGCAGTAACAAAAATTACAGTACCTATAAACGAAGCTAAGTCAGTTTTCTTCATCGTCCTCCTCGCAGTAATCCCACTCCTCCTCTTGCGACGCTGGCCTGACAACAGGTGGTAGTGGCCTGGCTTCCAATTTCGGGCTGCACGGGATCATACCGTTGGTAAGGTTACACAGAAATCCTGAAATCAAACGTGGTATGAGACGACAGACAAAACTAATAAAGAACTGAGTATTAAAACATTTTCAAGAAATACGTATTAAGTACTCACCTCTCATCTTGCTTATGAGATCTTCATCGTTCCCGGTCTTGTCACCATCTTCGTCGTCCGACTTTTGCATTAGATTTTGATAGAAAGTATACACGATTTCGATAGCGTGGTTAATTATGATTTGCGCGGTGCAAAGTATCATGATGATCAAAATCGGTAAACACAATGTAGTCTCCACGTCGTCCAGGAAAAGATTCAACCATTCCGGTAGCAAATCGCAACTCATCTTCGGTTTGCGTCGCGTTCAACGGGACGCCGGAGATAGTTCGATTAAATCCGTGATTGTAACAATCGTCCGTTCGACACATGTGCGTTGTCAAAGCGAACCCGTTTCCGAGACGATTTCGCGAACCATATTCTTGTCAATTTATCCGAGGAAACGAAACATCGCCGAAAAATACACTTGGACGTCGTTCTTGTGGCACTGAACCCGGAATCCAAAAGCTGAATGCTTCGTAAAATCGATTATCGAATCAGTTCACTGCTCGATTCCGTCGAAGCGCGAACGAATATGAAATTTGAACGAGACGCACAGACCCGATAATGAACGCTGTCACTTTACGCTACCGTTTCGACAACTTCACGTCTACTATTTGCAAGCCCATACGATGTTCCAAAATAACAACGCGTGAATTAACCATAGAGATAATATTATCTCTATGGAATTAACGCGAACGCTATTATTCGAACGTGTAACGTATACGTTACCTTACGTAGGGTTAGGAGACACGAAACTAGTCAAGCCGGAGTCAAACATGTCTGTAGCGTCATCTACCTCGTCTATTTTGCACGATCAGAAATTCTGATACAACCTAACCTACCAATACGAATTAATATCAATTTTATTTACGTTTGTTAGACTTTTAATTCATAGAAGAGTGAAACAAAACCGATAGCTAGCCTCGTGTATAAGTTAAATAATTTTTAAATAAATACACACAATATGTCGACTCGCTGGTGAGTATTTATATTCGTGCCAAGAGACGCGTGTTAAAAGAGTCTAACAATTAAATCGAGCGATTTTATGCAATTATAAAAAAATTGAATCTGTAGAAATGACGAATGCCATGTGCAAACAATTCAGAATGTCAAAGGCTGAACACATGTCTCAATGTTTGAATGATCAAACAAATGTTTATGTGAAATACATTTTTCACACCGATACTATGAATACAAATAATCATTTTAATCACTGGTGTATAATATTACAGGTATACCTTGTATCAGAAAGGTAATCCACAACGTAGAGTGTTTCTCCCAAACTTCTGGATGAAACTCGTGAAACCAGAAAACAATCAACCAAAGAATATAGTACAATTCCAGTGCTCAATGGAAATGACGAAATACGATATAAAAAATTATTTAGAAAAGATCTACGATGTGCATCCTGTTGTTGTTAAAACAAGAATTGTTCTGGGGAGAACGTATATGCCTGAGAAATTTGTTGTCAAGGACGATGATGTGAAAATGGCTTATGTCACTCTGGTAAGAGTTTGAGAGAAAGCTGTCTACCTTCACAAGTGTATGAATCAACGTTTTGTATGAATTACAGCCGAAAACAGAAGAATTCACTTTCCCTGATGTGGTCCCTGGAGAAGACCAGACAAGCACTAAATTAAGCGAGGTAAAAGAGAATTTCAAGAAGTTCGTCGGTAACAATAAGATGCCTGGTTTTCCCAGCTGGTTCAGGGTGTAAATTTGTAATTAGCTAGACGTAAATAAATGAAATTGATCTAACTGGTCGACGTTTATTCGTTTTTGAACTGTCATACCTATATCAAATAATACTGACACCGAATGAGTAATGGAAATCAAAGTAATATATGTATGTCGCTATGTATATTTAAATAATGAAATAAAAAACTATATTATTTTTCAACGTTCTACATGTTGTTTTTTTACTTTAATCCTGTTTGGAACAGTTGGTGTGTTCGCTGAGCATATGAGAATAGCACTTGCACTGTGGACACTGTGTAATGTCGCACAGGAAGATTGTCTGTAAGAATGAAATTATCATTAAGATGAGACCAATAATTAATGGTTAAAATTGATTCACGTACCTGTGGGTGAAAAGGGCAGAAATAACGTATTCTACCTTTAGTCCAGTAACCACAAACATTGCATATAACGAATGCATATGGTCTGAAGCAAATGCATTGATCACAGTTTTGTCCCATTCCTGTTCCTCTACCCATTCCTTTCGAAGGATTGCTGGTGTATTGTGGATTGGCTTGCATCTTGCTGAAGTTCATGTTCAATAAATCATTCAATATTCATACGGATGTCTCGATTAACGATCAGAATTCGCATAATAAACGTACAAAGCGAAGTATGAACATGATTCGTGTTACACACGCTTCCGAGCGAGTACGGAGAATATTGTTCTCATTACGAGTAACGAACAAACGGCACATTTCGAATCGTTTTTTTGTGACACGGGTTTCTACGCGTAAACATGATACACTCGTAGCCGTGACATTTTTATACTTCAGAATAACAGCGTCTCATTTTCGGATCGCGAATAATGATCTCGCCTTTGTAACTGGGCATTCTTACCGATGCGAAATTCTAAACGACGCATCTCGCAAAGGGCAGGATCGTGAAAAATCACACCCGTTTAACGACGACGCAACACAACAATGTTGTTTTTTTCTTTGAACGAAGTTCATCATATATGCTACATCGAACTCGAATCGGCAGACAGAACGACGATACGAAGCAATAAAATATTTTACTTACCTCAAGATTGACGACAAAAGCCTCAGGATTTAGATTCTTCTTTATTTTACTTCTTAAATCGTAACTTCAGGATCACACTCGCCTTAGCGATCACTATGCTGAACACTAACGCGTCAAGTGAAGCGAAATCCGTTTCACCCGTACGGATAATGTAAATAAAATAAGAGGGTCGTAGTATAAACACACTTGAAATCAGCTGGGTGTTGTTTTATCGCGATGCCGATCTCCTCGAGACGAAACGCACGGGAGAATTTGTCGCAGTGTATAACCGTATTAAACGTATAAGACTCTTTCTTATTTCAGTATTTCCCTTTCTTTATTCGTAGAACACACGGCTCTTCTCTTTAGCGATCGAAGTCAAAATTATGGTGAATCCTTGGTCTGAAGTACGTTACGTCAAATGTGAACATGGCAAGAAGGTAAAGTCAAACAATGATCGATCGTTCACCGTCGATCGATTTTATTTGGACATACGTACTGTGTGATACATTGTTTGAATCGCGTTTAAGGACCGTCTAATATACTTTTCTCGCAGTATCACACGGCGTTCATCTCCGAGCTCGATAAAAGCTGTACTATGTTACGCAGAAAAATATGGAACGCGTGTTATGCGTTGCATACTGAATAAAATGTATTTCTCTTGAACAAGAAACAGCTACAATTTTCCTCCGTTCCTTTTCCCCGACACCAGAGAATTATAGCTACGTACACGCTGTAAAACGCGCGTAGATTATGCTCGGAGGAGAGTAGGGCAACGAAAATGTAACTGTAAATTAAACGTGAAGAATTGGCCGATTTTATCCGAGTTGAATTTTATCTTTCGCTCATTTTTTCCCTGAACCAGTATAGTATACCGCGCGCGTCGAGAAGAGAGCCGGTCCGTTAAAAATTCACGTATCCACGGTGAATCGATCTAACTTTCGAAGCGATGGCCTCAGGCCCGATCGTGGAAAACAGACGCGTTGCTAATTTAAACATTTCTACCAATCATGGCAGGTAAAAAATCGACAGTCGATGGATACAAGTGAGAATTCCCGAACGGAAGGGAAGGGAATTCTTTTAAAACCGTCTGAGTATCGTTTTTACAATGATATCTAAATATGCGTAGGATATCGGCCAGCGGGACGGACAGGAAGGTGACGTTTTGCACGGACGTGGACAAATCCGTAATAGTTCATAATTTTGAGAAGCGAGGGTGGGTTCAAGTCGGCCCGGAGGACGACTGGAATTTTTATTGGTAAGTCCCATGAATCGTTTATTTCTAATTTATTTGTAAAACTATTTTCGAAACGTCGTAGGGCAGCCACGCAGTCCTGCAGAAACATATTCAGCGTGGAAACCGGATACAGGATGGACGACAAACAGTAGAGTCATTTTTTCTTACCGAAGAACATTCGTTTCTAACGTCGATTAATTCAAACTCGGTCGTTCGTAGGATGATCAATCATTTCCCGAACCATTACGAGTTGACGCGTAAGGATCTGTTAGTGAAAAATATAAAGCGTTACCGGAAGGAGTTGGAGCGCGAAGGAAATCCCCTCGCGGAACGAGGGGACGGACCGGGGAAATATCTCTATCTCGATTTCATTCCGGTCACGTTTGTTTTACCCGCAGGTAGATCAGAGTAAACGAAGTCGTTGTCGAATTTAGGATTCTCAAGTCCGTCGATTCCCACAGATTATAACATGTTCGTGGAGGAATACCGGAAATCGCCGCAGAGCACGTGGATCATGAAACCGTGCGGTAAATCGCAGGGCGCCGGGATATTTCTAATCAATAAATTGAGTAAACTGAAGAAATGGTCCCGCGAGGCGAAGAACCCCTTCAATCCTAATCTGACGAAAGAATCCTACGTGATATCTAGGTTCCAATTTTTAAACGTCTCGCTGTGCATTCCCTCCTATACGTTCCAGTTACGTAATGAACAGAACTATTTTCTATATTCACATATCGCAGATACATCGACAATCCGCTCTTGATCGGTGGGAAAAAATTCGATCTCCGGTTGTACGTCTTGATCTCGTCCTTCCGACCACTGAAAGCGTACTTATTCAAACTCGGATTCTGTCGATTCTGCACGGTGAAGTACGACACGAGTATTCAAGAATTAGACAACATGTACGTTCACCTGACAAACGTCTCTGTGCAGAAGCATGGGGTGAGCGAATCTCTCCCTCGATAGAAGGCACTAAACGCACGAACCTGTAGAGTCGTTTTAAAAAAATAGGAAGAGTACAACAGCAAACACGGTGGTAAGTTGAGCGTACACAATCTGAGATTGTATCTGGAGAGCACGCGTGGAAAGGCGGTCACGGAAAAGCTGTTCGCGAACATCACCTGGTGCATCGTGCACTCCCTGAAGGCTGTTACCCCGGTAATGGCGAACGACCGACACTGTTTCGAGTGCTACGGCTACGATATCATCATCGACAACGATCTCAAACCATGGCTGATCGAGGTTTTCAATATTATAATTCGTGTTAATCTCCATTCTCGCTGCTGTCTAATCGCGTTAAAATTCGATCTTTCACGTTCGAAGGTAAACGCTTCTCCGTCGCTGACGTCTACCACGGTGAACGATCGAATTTTGAAATACAAACTGATCGACAATATAATTTCGATCGTCGTGCCACCCGATGGAAGCCCAGAGTGAGTCCCACTCTTATTTTTAAGGAACACAGAATCGCGAACGAATTTTATTGATTCGGATGAAATTTAGCGTGAAATGGAACAAGTGTCCACCGCCAGAAGCTCTGGGAAATTTCGAGCTTCTCCTGGACGAGGACATATGCGCTCAAGACGAAAAGGAATACTCCGGCAAGTGTCGGAGTTCTTCGAGCAAGTGGAACAAGTTCTCAACTGGTACCAAATGACGTAATGAATAAACTGGTTACGACGAGGGTGTTTCATTTGAAAAGCACTCAAAATCGTGAATCTCTCGGGACGAGCCTTAGATCGTACGAGGAAGTATCGGAGTTCCAGCAAATGGAATAAATTTTCAGCTGGTACCATATGACATAATAAATAAAAAGGTTTCGACAAAGAACAGTGTTTCATTTCGAAATTACCTTGCGAGCCCCTCGGGACGAGCTTTAGATCAAACGGGCGAGCTTCGGGAAGCGAGGCATGCGTAGACGAAACGGGAAAGGCTCACGGATTCTCTGGACAAAGCGCATGTACCGAATCTTCGAAATTGCATATATTCCGAGTTTATTTCGCTCGCGGACAACACAATTTATCGTGATCCGTCGCGTGATCTCGAAATGAAAACGACACGCGTCCGCGAGTATCGAAGACACTGGTTGGTCTCGTAACAAACGTACGGTGTTACACCGGGACAGCGTTATACCGATTCGGTATATAAAGCTGAATCTTCCACGGGGGTGGTTTAGATGTGTTCCAACCGGCATTCTATCACGTGTTTTAGACGGTCCGCGATTCAATCACGGTGAACCTCCGATAGACAGTTTTCATTCTGACTCCGATATCAATCAATTGAATGATGTAAACGCACTGCTCGAACAATTGCTATAGAAAAGAATGGAGAGTGGTATGTGCAAACAGGTGTTACTCGTGAGTACTAAGTTCCTGACGATAGTCCTGGTCTCGCAATTACTGTGCACTGTCAACGTTTTGCCAGGTGAGTTCGAAACTTTCGATCGACGCATAATTCAAACGCGGAACTGATTAAACAGTGGGATTCGAAACGAAATAGATTTGACTCCCGAACTAATATTCTTGGCCCGCTATTGATAAAAAAGACTGAAACGTAAATGAAACGTTACTCTCTCGAATATCAGAGTATACCCTTTAGCAACCCTCTCTCGGTGTCACGAGCAGAATGAAATAATCATAGTTTCTGTACGATTTGTCACGACGGCTGGCACAACAACGATATCTTCTACTCGTTTGAGCCTCATTGGCGTAATGACGTCTAGCGCTTCGTGTTTCGAAACGTTCCACTTTTCTGGTCTTCCAATTTCTGATCAACTGATCAGAAACTTGTCGATGAAATTTCACCGAGAGCGTAAACGTTTAGGAAAATCGCGATCATCTTTCAAATGACGTTTTGATTATGCAGCGAACTATGAGTATCCGGCGAGAGTCTACAACGTCGGAGTGCTCATGGCATCTCATCTCGATAGCCCTTTCGATCTAGAAAGATGCGGACCGGCCGTGGACTTGGCCTTGGCCGAAGTGAACGAGTTTTTAAGCGTCCACAATGTGAAATTGCGCAAGGTCCAAGGAAGGTAGGGCGAAACGAGAAAATCCCTTATCTTCCTTCCTTCCTTCCACCCTCCCTCCTGTTCGACCGTACCTTTTAAGTCATCCGCCGATCGATGTGCCGATACTGCCGATTGCGTAAGAAAAAAAAAAAGGAAAGACAGAAGAAGAGGACAAAAGGGGTGGACGTCCTAGATCACGCGAACGCGTGACCCTGCGTAAGTTGATTCGTTGCTGACCACGCGTTCCCATCGCTTCCACGCCATTACGTTAATTCAATTGCACAGACATTCCTTCGACGGCGAGATTCATCGAATGTCTGCCGTATGATTATGTACAGAACGATTTAAAATTCTAGCGGGGTTGTAAGAACGAATCGATGAAAATTCACCCTCGCGTCGCGTCACCGTTGCATTCTGTAAAATGAACCGAACGTGATTCTCTCAGAATCAGCGAATAAAATCTAATATTTTCTATTCCACTTCAAATTCCACGACTACGAAGTTCTAATTTATTTATGATTGTTAAAAGCACAAACTTTTTCAGTCGATGGTTAGCAATTCGAGATCTCGTCAAATCTTTTTATAGATACAATATAAGTACTTGGAAATCGCGATACTCGTTTGTAATGACATGCTGAACGAACGGTAATACGATGCGAGGAAACGAAAGAAGCGCGTGTTTAAAACTATCGAATAGGAAATGTTGAAAAAGAAGAACGAGGGAAGAGGAATGTCGTTTCCCCTTCGAACAGCGAAGAATTAGAATAACCCGTCGGAATTGGCCCGGGTTCGGTTAACGAAGCGCGCGCGAAGGGCAAGAATCGGCGGATAATTTCCCAGTGATCGATCAGTATCCAATCATTGCCCATTCACCGGCGCGATTAATCTATCATTATCCCCGAGTCGTTCTTTACACTTGGAATGACATTGCGATCCGGACCAGCCGGCCGGCCGGTCAGCCCTCGCTAACAATTATCAATCAATCGACGCGTACGTGCGTTTCCTGCGCGTTCCACGGATTCCCTTTGGGGACGGGAATCGCCGAGTAGCGAACAGCCCTACGCCACCCCCGTTTCTTTTTCCCTTGGCCCGGGATAATTCGATCGCGGCTTGTTTGCACGCCGGAATACGATCATCTATCAACTCGTTTACCCCCCGTCCTCCATTCTTGATATTGTTTGATTCCGATAAACCATCGCTCCGTTCTGTGCCTCTTACTTTCTGTTCTCACATTCTGCGCCCGTGTCGAGAAAAACGAGACACCGTACGATTCTAAAGGATCGCGTCCGCGCGTCAAACGTCGAAATTGGTCGCCGAGTTAAAACGATACCTACTCTGCTCCGTCCTTCAGTTCCTATTTCTTGCACGTTCTCACGTTCGAGCGTGTATGATTTACGAGAAATTTTTACGTTCGTTCGATTGATAGCTACCCGTCGTGCAGTGGAGCCGCGGCACCAGGCTTGGCAGCCGATATGCACTTCCGAGACAACGTGATCGCGTTCGTCGGCCCGGCCTGTGCGTTCGCTCTAGAACCCGTGGCTAGGCTCGCAGCATTTTGGAACACTCCCATAATCACGGGAATGGGTGATCAAGTACAATTCTCTTTTTAATAACTAATGTTTATAATGATTCGAGTAACGATAAATCGGCCTCACTGTTTCGTCTTTCTGTACGCGAGGTACATTAACGAGACGATAACGACCAATTTACCGTTTATCTGATTATTTTGGAACAATTAAGCCGCCGTCGGAAGGGGAACTGTCGGTGACGTCGGGAATCCTTGGCAGGATCAACAAATGGAAAAACGAAAGCTCGGTAAGGAATGTGTGTGAACTCCGTCAAAAAGTTCGTTACGTTAATCGATCGCGTTGTCCGTTTAATTACCGCGTGCAACGGGCACTCGATCCTGATAATGAACGCGAGAAGCTGATACCTCGTCCTTATTTACGGCTCCATTAGTATTCTTAATTAGCTCGTTAAGACGGTGAGAATTTTAAGAAATGTCTCGCGAGAGAAATTCTTTTTAAAGGGAATTTTCAAAGACAAGACCAAGTATCCGACGTTGACGAGGATGTCCTATTGTCAGTGTCGACTGCGACTGGTGTTCTCCAGTATCTTTAAAGAATTCGGATGGTCTCACGTGGCGCTGATTCTGGACAGGTCGGACTTGTTCTCGTGGACAGTGGGCAAGAACTTGGAATATGGATTGAGGAAAGACGGACTCCTAAAATTCGTACGAGAACTCGACGGCAATTCCAAGGACGAATCCTACCATTTTTACTTACGCGACGCGAGCATGTACGCGAGAGGTGAATGTCTTTCCAACAATTATCGAGACAATTTAATGGAAAGATCTACGTATAGAAAAATATCAAAGTCACCACGTTGATTCTAATGAATTCATCTCTGTTCATTCTGTATCATAATAGACGTGCTGTCTGTTGTTCGATAGTGTTGATTCTAAGCGTCCGTGGAATTCTAGTCAGGAAGTTCATGCTGGCTGCTCACGACTTGGAAATGACGAGAGGCGATTGGGCGTTCCTCGACGTTGAAATATTTCAAGTGCGTTCTTTGCAAGACGTTACCAGACCGTGGATTTTTATGCGACGCGAATTTAGGAAATGAAATCTAAGCAGAAATTTCATTTTGTCTCCGTATGAATTTTGCAGAGCTACTGCAAGTACAATTTTTCTATACATGCATAAAATCCGCAGTCCAGGCGTTACTGTACTCAGCGGAATGAATAATTCCGACATTAAAATTTACAATAAAGGGACGGTGGACTGTTTGTTTTTTAACACGACTCAGGGTTCCTACTGGGGTGACCACGGCTGGGAACTCGGGGACGAGGACGACACCGTCGCGAGGAAAGCCTACGAAGCTCTTCTCAGGGTGTCTCTTTTACAACCGACCACTCCGAGATTTCAGGACTTCGCAGAGAGTGTCCGTCAGAGAGCTCAGAGCGACTACAATTACACGTTCTCCGACGGAGAGGAAGTAAATACCCATTCGCATTTTCAGAAACTTTAACTCGTGATCAGACTCAGACTCAGAAAATATGAACCATGGATGCGACGTGTTTTACGGGACGAAACTGATCGACGAGCGCGCTACAGAAAAATTACGAGGAGCGGCGGACACGACCAATGTGGGAAAATGTACTTTCAGGTGAATTTCTTCATCGGCGCGTTTTACGACGGCGTTTATTTGCTGGGGATAGCGTTGAACGAGACTCTGGCCGAGGGCGAGGACATCAGGGACGGGATATCGATAACGAGAAGGATGTGGGACCGGGACTTCATCGGTATTACGGGGCACGTGAGAATCGACGACAATGGAGACCGAGACGCGGACTACAGTATCCTGGATTTAGATCCTATCACGGGAAGGTCAGCGTCAATTAAGCCAGTCTCTTCCTCTGATATGTTTGCCATGCTAATCAAGCCCCATTCTCTTAGGCCAGCCGGATACACATTCGGTCTGAAAGCCTCCGCCCATCCCACGCACAAATCTCCTCTCCGTTTCCTTTGAATTCGAAACAGAATTTTGATCAAGCGAATATGCATACGTCTCGGGAAAACATTGATTCGGACGCGAGAGGAAATCTAAACCGAACGTCGTAATCGCGTTTAGTCACACAAAAGATTTTAATCATTTATTTTCTACTGTCTGGAAATTGGATCGCAGGTTCGAAGTGGTAGCGCACTATTTGGGATTGAATCGGGAATACAGCCCCGTGGCTGGGAAAAAGATTCATTGGCCCGGAGGAAGAGAGGGACCCCCGGCTGACATGCCCGAATGCGGATTTTTAGGAAACGACCCGGCCTGCGCTTCGAACGCGGAAGCGTACACCCTCGTCGCTTACTCCAGTCTGGCCCTGGCCGTGTTTTTGCTCGTCGCTGTCACTGCGACTTGCATTCTGTACAGGTAACTTCACCGACCATTTCTCATGCTCGAGGAAGCATTTATTTCTGTTAGAAGAATCGCTTCTTACAGGCATCTGAGAGTGTCGGCTGATTTGAATAACATGTCGTGGAGGATCAGACCCGAGGAACTGCTCTTGGAAATAGGAAGACCATTTTCGTCGAAGATCAATCTACACCAAGCGATCGCCGAGGTGAATGCGAACGATTCTAATAAAGGGGTCGCATTAAATTCGCTCCTGTCGTTACAGAATTTCGGATTGGAACAGCGTATTCGCCGGGGATCGCAATTCAGTTGCGATTCCCTGCCACCGAGCACGGTGTTCACTACCATCGGCATTTACAAAGGGGAGAGAGTGGCCATTAAGAAAATCACCAAGAAGAAGGTCGTCGACGTGAACAAAAAATTATTATGGGAGATCAAACAAGTCCGGGACGTCACCTCGGAGAACACCGTCAGGTACAGAAATAATTCGTTGGAAAAATGAGTGATCGATCACGATCGACAATTGATTTCAGATTCATAGGGGCGTGTCTGTGTTCGCCTTCGCCGACGGTATTGATCCTCACGGAGTATTGTCCCCGAGGCTCTTTGAAAGACGTGTTGGAAAACGAGGCTATCAAATTAGACTGGAATTTCCGAATGTCTCTGATCCACGACATCGTCAAGGTAGAGCAGGTGCAGAATTCATCTCACACGTTCGCCACGTCCGACTTCGTAGAGCGTAAATCATTGACAGTGAAATCTGATCTGAGCGAAATTTTCCCCCTGCATTTCTCATTCATCGACCGGTAGTCACTTTCTCAGAGACGTATTAAGACTGGAATATCAATTTTCTTGTTACAGGGAATGTCGTACCTTCACGCGAGCGAAGTCTCGGCTCACGGCAAGCTTCGGTCCTGCAATTGCCTGATCGACGGTCGTTTCGTTTTAAAGATTTCAGACTTCGGTCTGCAGACTCTGACCACCCCTTCCGATTTGATCATAGACGATAAACATTATATCAGTACGTAAACGATGATACGTAAAAAACAAATTGATTTACTGTCAACGAATCGGTGTTCGACAGAATTACTGTGGATCGCTCCGGAACTTGTACCACTGACCGTGACACCCGGAAGTGCATCCACGCAGAAAGGAGACGTCTACAGTTTCGCGATCATTTTAGAAGAGATCGTGGTTCGCGGTGGACCGTACGAATCTGTCAAGTCTATCATGACCTCCCAAGAGGTATAACGATGTTCATTAATTAAGATCGTAAGACCTCTGCCAAAAGTTTCAGACGTGTACTAAAAAGCTGTCGTCGTTGCAATCATATTTTTCCATAAATGAAATCAACTGTTCATACAATTTTTCACGAAACAGATCGTCGCCCGCGTTGCAGCGTCCGAAGTACCCCCTTTCAGACCGGAGGTGACTCCTAAGGACTGTCCACCGGACATACTCTCCCTGATGGAGAAATGCTGGAACGAAGTACCCGAGGAACGACCGACGTTCCATACGATTCGCGGAACCATACGTCGTATTATGAAGTGAACTTTCGTTCCGACTTTCTTCTCATGGCACCATCGATCCTTTGAGAAGCACAATATCTGTTTCAAAATTCCAGAGGCTATTGCGAAGACCTGATGGACGATTTGTTGAGGCGTATGGAGCAGTACGCGAACAACTTGGAAGCCCTTGTCGAGGAAAAGACGGAACAGTTGAGCCTGGAGAAACGACGAAGCGAAGAGCTACTCTATCAAGTACTCCCGCGGTATCGTAACGACAGATTTGGACTCCTATTCAATAATTTTTATAATTCCATGAAATCCGCGATTCATTCGTTTGATTAAACGTCGCAGGCAAGTGGCTTGCCAATTGATGGCAGGGGAACTGGTCCAACCGGAGCAATTCGAATGCGTGACGATTTACTTTAGCGACATCGTCGGTTTCACAGCGCTCTGCGCGCAAAGCACCCCGATGGAAGTGGTAGGGTTCTTAAACGATCTTTACAGTACCTTCGATCGCATCATCGAATTTTACGACGTTTACAAGGTACTCAGACGTCGAGACTACTCACGCGTCGAGACGAACGATTTTCATCTCTCGTATTTTACGAAACAAGGTGGAGACGATAGGGGACGCGTACATGGTGGTGTCTGGATTGCCGGAACAGAACGGGGACGAACACGCGAGGGAAATCGGGCTGATGGCTCTGGCGATTCTCGATTCGATACGATCGTTCACCATCATTCATAAACAGAATGCACAGTTGAGCGTCAGAATCGGTGTGCATAGCGGGCCCGTCTGCGCCGGTGTCGTCGGCCAGAAGATGCCCCATTATTGCCTTTTCGGCGACACGGTGAACACCGCGTCGAGAATGGAATCGTCAGGATTGCGTAAGTTACTTTGCAAAAATTGCAACGCGGTGTAAAATATACTTGACACGTATTACGTTTGACATAGCGTTACGGATTCACGTCTCGGAGGCGACGAAATGCATATTGGATAAATTTGGAACGTTCGAATTAGAGCTGAGGGGCGAGGTGGAATTGAAGGGTAAGGGAAGAGTGACTTCTTACTGGTTGAAGGGTTGCTCCGAACCGGATCCGAGACCACCGACACCCAAGTATCGCAAGCACAGCGTCAGCACGCCGGAAAATAATCTAAACCCTTTGATCTTTCCACCTAACAATACGAACGGTCCGAAGACCAACAACAATACTTTTATTAACTTGTCAGAGTTGCAACAGACCGTGTAAATGAGCAAATTAATAAAAATAAATTTCGACCGCAGCATCGTTCGTCGAAAAATATGTACAACTGTAGATTGATATTTCAAAGTAAATAACTTTACAATAAAATGTACAAAGGAAAGTCTTCCAAAGTCTCGGAAATTTGACCGAATGATCAATTCCAGTTCCTCGCTTGGTACCGTTTCCGAGACTTTGGAACCAAGCGAAGAAGTATGAAAATCAGAATCTCTTTACCTTAAATTGTATGGTGATTAACAAAATCCGATTAATAAATGAACGAAAACGAATATTGGCTTCTTTTTTATTTCACGATCCTTGACCACACGTCCAATCCTGAAAGAATTTAAGATCGGGAATTATCACTGCCTTCTTTCAATAATTTAATTAATGTACGTGCTAATCAATATTACGTCGAAATAAAAAAAAGAACTCGATTGAATTTTGATTAATAAATGAACAGAAAGAAATCTTAGTATTTTTATTTTACGATTCTTAACCGTCTGTAGTTGAAATCTGAATTTCACTGCTCCTCAACGCACGGCGCTGTGATCGAAATTTCTCGAATTTCCCAACACTCGACGTCGCCTTCACCGACTATATTCAGTGACTAGATTAAATTCATTCTAATAGCGACACGTAAACACTGTACATCTCGACTTGAAATAATTACGAATCTACCAAGATTTAAAATGTGTAGCTAGTTGCGGTAACTACGAATTTATCTACAATAAAAATCTTAACAGTCGAGAGGTCAATTTGTTCGTTTTGGAACATGAGAAAGGGGCTCATTCTGATTTGCAATATATTTTTTATCATTTACGTATTCGCGGTTGACGATCCGAAGTCCGGCAAAAAAAAATCATGGAAAGACAAAGATATACGGGACATGAATGACGCGGATTTAGAAAGATTGTTGGATCAATGGGAGGTACGTCGTGTTTCCATTTAAAACGTTTTCTCCTAAAGTGAAAGACTGAGATCTGTTTTCAATCCGCTGATTTAGGAAAACGATGAACCTTTGGAGCCAGATGAATTACCAGAACACCTTAGGCCCAGTCCCAAAATCGACATATCACAGGTACCATATCCTAAGACATTTTTTCAGATGTACGATATTTAAATATGTGTCCTTATTTATTCAGCTTGATACGTCGAATCCTGATAATGTATTAAAAATGACCAAGAAAGGTAAAGGTGTGATGATGTTTGTGGATACTAACGAGGATTTGTCCGAGGAAGATGCGCAAACGATCATGAAAATCTGGCAGACTAGTCTTCAGAACAATCACATTATTGCCGAAAGGTGATATTTCATCTGTTGGATTTGGACAATTAGAAAGTGCCTACATAACGTTACCATATCTTCTATAGATATCCAATTGATCCGAGGAGATCTGTACTCCTCTTCCGCGAAGGGTCACAAGCTGTAGACGCAAAGAATTATCTATTGCAGCAGCCAGAATTGTCTCACGTGTCTCTCGAAGGACAAGTATACTACAGGGATCCGAAGAAGCAGGTGAATAAATGAATCAATAGATCAGTTTTATCCAAAAACGGTGTACAAAAATGATACGCTTACAATTCTTTCACAGGAAGCAAACAGAGCGAAGATGAGCAAACTAGTGGATAGTCAAAACGCTAAGGAGAAGAGGAAGAAGAACGTGGAGTTATAACCTGTTTTAATTTCCTCGGAGATATTTGATATCATTTCTTTGTATATTTTTGTACCCATGTATATACGTGCATTCCATTAATATTTGTACTATTATTGTAATAAGCGCAAAACAATTTTTCGTATGAATTCAAAGATATAAGCACTCGGGATTAAATGCGCTCCTTTGTATAACTATTTAACCAATATTTATTAATTCCTCTAAATTAATTTTGTGACAAGGCAATAATAGGTCATTAGAACTGGGCTAACTGATCAACATAGCTAAAGATGTTAATAGAGTGCAACAACTAGTAATACAAACAATTGAACGATTCCATGTTATATCATTACAAAACGTAACTACTTTTGATCTTCTACAATTAGGATATGTATAAAAGATTACGAATGAACGGTCGTAGCATTCTGCTCAATGAACCGACTGAGGAAGATTTGTAACTTAGCAGATCATTTATTTATGCTAGACTTGCTGGTCGGAGAATCCAGCTGATTAGAACTGTCCATAGCTCTCACTTCCCTCTGTAACTCCTTTACCACGGTCGCGAGAGCATACGGATTTACACCGTTCTCGCATAATCGTATGCATATACTTAACGTCGTCGGGTCCAAATTGGTGTTCAACAGTTTCGAAATTTGATAAAGCGCTTGGAACGTTTTGCGAGCAGCGTTTATCTGATGGTGTACAGGCTCTGGCATGCTGCCTCGTTCCTTTCTACGAAATAAAAATAACGCTTGTCGAACGTATCGGTCTCACTGATAGGTTATGTTTTCACATTAATTTCGCTTCCGTTATACGTACTCTCCGGTGTTAGACAGTTTGGCGTCAGGATTGAATAACTGTACTTATGAACAAACAGACAAGCATAACTTGCGATGACCGTTATCTGATTTACGTTCTTTGAAAAAATTTCTTAACACTGTCGATGCATGTCACTCAATGTCACTGTCTGAAATTGGTGGCTGTTTCCATAGCAACTGCCGATTTGATCTAGTGGATATGCAGTATGGGCACCATCGACTAAAAACTATCGATTTAGTCGATAGTAGCTAACGATACTTTTAGTTTGTGTACTTTAGAAAACCGCATTTCCTATAATTAAAAAGAAATTAAACGTCGGAAGAACAATGCTAATAATAAATAGCTACGTGCTAAAAAGTATTGAAGG